GGAGCTTCCTTTCTCGCTTTCCTCTCTCTCTCTCTCTCTGAATAGCAATAATAAATAAATAAAATTTAAATTGAATAAAGAATTTTGTACCAGCAGATGGCATAATGGCTACGTCACTGGACTCCCATGTAGTCAACCACAGTTCAACTCCCAAACCTGGTTGCTAAACTCACGCCGGGTGCGTATATGTGCATGCCCGAGACCCTAAGATGAGAATGGAGGAGAAGGGATTGTGGCGTGGCCATCTCCCCTGGGGGGACATTCTTGCTTTCTGTCTCTCTGTCTTTCTGGTGAGTGCACACCCCCCGTAGCAAAAAATCTCTTCAAAAAAATATTGAATAGGGAACCAGCAGTTAGCGTAATGGCTATGTCGCTGGACTCCCATGTAGTCAACCGCGGTTCGCGTCCTGGACCCGGTGGCTTAAAACTCACGCCGGGCGCATGTGCGTGCGTGCCCAAGATCCCAGAGAGGAGAATGGAGGAGAAGCGATTGCGGCGTGACCATCCCCCCGGGGGGGTGATTTCTCGCTTTCTGTCTCTATGTCTCTGTCTGTCTGGCGAGCGCACGCGCCCTATAGCAAAAAACCTCTCAAAAAAAAATTGAATAAAGAATTAAAAAAATAATAAAGCTGTTTAAAAAAAACAAATAGGGTCCAGCAGGTAGTGTAGTAATAAAGGCACTGGATTCCCACATGGCCAGCCACAGTTTAAGTCCCAGACCTGGTGGCTTGCTTTTTCACTATCACTCTCCTTCTCTCTCTCTCTCTGGTCAAATTGAAGAATAATAAAAAAAAATAAAATTAAGTAAACAATTGAAAAACCAACCAATCAAACAAACCCAGGTGATTGCTCTTTGAATGTCTATTATTTCCTGACAACTTGGAATATTTCACAATTTCTTTTTCAAATAATTATTTTACTTAAATTTATTTATTTATTTCCTTATTTTAATTTGACCAGAGACAAAGGGGGGATGGAGAGAAAGAGAGCAAGCCACCAGGTCTGGGACTCGAACTGTAGTCAATCACATGTGAGTCCAGCAGCCTTAACCACCACGCTATCTGCTGGCCCCTATCTCATAATTTCTTTCTTTCTTTTTTTTTAAAAGAATTATTTCATTTAACTTCATTTATTTATTTATTTTAATTTGACCAAAGATGGACACAGTGAGGGAGAGGGAGAGAGAAAGAGAGAAAGCAAGTCACCAGGTCCAGGACTTGAACCCTGGTCGGCCACATGGGAGTCCAGTATCCTTAACCACCATGCAATCTGTTGGCCCCTCTATTTAACAATTTCTTCTTTTTTTTTTTTTTGGAGAGGTTTTTTCTTTAGGGCGTGTGCCCTCCCCAAAAAGACA